TTTTATTGTTTGGTTGCTAAATTTGCCACATTATTATTTTATTTAGCCATGTATTTACTTTTTCAAGCCATTTATATATTTCTACATTTATTTCCCATTATGAAAGGTTCGGTCCTCCACAGTTTTGTTGTTTGTTTTGAAAAGCTGCGGTGAATCTCCTCCAACCCGCCAGGGGGCGGTGTTCTCAAACACGGTTTTATTTTGAAAATCACGAGCGGAAGTGTCGGTGTGTTCGAACTTGAACAGGCGGCGTGGGTTTTTGTTCAGCGTCATGGCCGCACACGGTCACAGTTTTATCCGGCTCCGGTTGCTCTTCGACTACCCRCCGCCTGCCGCGGTCGGCTGCCGGATGTGCTGGCTGCTCGTGGACCTGAACTCGTGTCGCGTCGTGGCGGATCTGGAGAGCGTGATCCGGGAGAAGTTCGAGTTCAGCCGCGGAAGCATCCTCAGCCTGTTCGTGGAGGACTGCTACCTGCCGCACACCGAGAGCATCTACGTGGTTCGGGACAAYGACAGCGTCAGGTCCGTGTTATTATTGTTGTTATTAGTGGTCTTAAAGAAATAACGTCGGTATCAGCTGAAACGGGTCGTGAAAAGGCCCAGTTTAAGGCAGCTGTTGTGTTAAACTGATGACAATTAATACTTCGATTTTTCACAACTTTAAATATTCCCTGTTAATACACTGCTGATAAACTGTGCTACAAAATGTTTTGCAATCTGATGTCAACAAGAGCGGAAATCCAACAAAAGATTTAGATTTTATCTGTAAATAATGAACTGTCAGCTGCACAGCTTTACTGTGAGTTTAACAAAATCTCTGTGTTTAATTTAACTCAACACGACAGCTTAAACAGTTTCTTCTGATTGACAGCACATTATATCTCACTGTGATCAGAGTGGGTATAAAACAACCATTAAACCAAAGAGAATCAACCTGTCATAGTGGATATTTAGACTGAAAAGGGTTTGTTTCGTACCTCAGACATCCTTTCTGCTGTTTGTGTTGAGTAATGAGCTCGGCTCAGGTCAGGTTTTATAGGACAATAAACAGGGTTTSAGTGAAAATGGAGGCAGTTAGCTGTATTTAGCACTATCCAAATGCTATAAGATCACTGAGAACGGTTTCAATAACTGAGTTGAACAACSTCTGAGTGTCTGACTCTTCATTTAAATCTGTTTGCCAGGGTGAAGGTGGACCATTTGAGTCAGCTGAACGGGCACAGCAGCTTTTCAGACACCGCAGCAGAGACCTGCAGAAAGAGACCAAGAGACACCGGGGAGGACGGATCAGAAGTGGAAAGCTTGAGTGCACAATGCAAGAAGAAGAAGAAGAAAAAGAAGAAGAAACAGTCTCAGAAAGAAACAGAGAACTCAGCAGAAGGAAGCTGTTTGATCACAGCTGCCAACAAGAACGAGGAGACACAAGGCAAAAAGCACAAAAAGAAGAAAAAGACAAAGACAGCAGCTAACAGTCATGCTGCTACACCAAAACCAGCTGCTCCAAACAACAAGTCACTTTGTGTTAGTAAGACAAATAAAAAGTCCAAGAACATGACGACAGCATCATCTAAAAAACAGAACACCACCTCGTCACAGAGTAGTGTTGGCAGCAGTGAGGAGAAAAAAGCTCAAGGGAAAAAAACCAAAGCATCATCATCTATCATCGTCTCATCATCATCATCCGCTTCCAAAAAAAACCCAAAACCTGTCCAGCCCCCCGCCCGAACCCCCTCGTCATCATCCTCAGACACAGACTCCTCGGAGGAGGAGGCTGTTCAAGTCCCGCCAAAACCCAACCCTCTAACACCCTCCACGCAGTCCATAAACTCTTCCCTGACACCTCCYGCCGGACCAGTCCGGGCCCCCGCTGACACGCTCACAGAGCCTCGACATCGAAACAGCAGCCAGCTGGTTATCGGACATCAGCAACCCRCCCAAAGCCTGGCGGGCCGCAGCAGTGGGCAGGAAGGGTTTTTGGCAGGTACTGGTCATGGAGACAGGGGGAAGGCTGAAAGTAGCTCTGAGTCCAGCTGCAGGGATGCAAAGGAGCCTTCCTACCAGACGGATTCCCTGACCAACGTGTCCGTCGTCCYTCAGGTTTGTCTCTAGGGGTGCAACGATACAGAAAATACACGATTTGGTTCGATTCAGTACTTTAGTCTCACGGTTCAATATTTTTTCGATACAAAAAAAGAGAAATTAATTATGAACGTTTGTTTAACCTCAAAATGCAGTTTTTAAATTAAATGTTGCTGAAACAGCAAGTTTCTCATGGATCTGCACTCGACAATGCAGCCTAGGTGGAGTAGTCGAACACAGATCCACTGATCCTTCAACACAGAGCATCTTTAGAAGACAAGTTGATAAAATAAATTTTAAAAATCTGTATTTGATACAAGTGTGTACTGAACCTAAAGCTCTGTACTGAACGGTTCGATACGGGTGCGTGTACATTCC